AATAATAATAATAATAATATAAAACTCAAACATGAAAAAGCTCAATTTGTGAGAGAGTTAAGGATAATTTTATTTAAAATAAGACAATTATCGCAAATTATAATAAATTAATTGTCTGTGTATTGATTAATGAAAAATAATAATATTAAAAATAAATTTATATTTAAAATATCAAAATAATATTTATTTATCTTATACTAATATACAAAGAAAATATGTATAAATTTACGAAAGTTGATAGTAGTTATTTATCTTTTGTTGACATTTTTCTTACATTGTCTTCCTTGGAGGCTGTCGAAATTAAAGGCACGTGCAAATCGTGCTCCCAAATTAATCAATTAACTATTAATATACACTAATCAACAATATCATTCGCTAATACTCTCCTACAATTTGCGGTTAAACAATAATAATAATTACTTAATTAATGATTTATTTAATACGCACGTACCTAAGGGTATTCCATTTTTGGCACGTGTGACATTTAATAAAAACAATAAATAATCATTAATAGGGGAATAAATGCGGGAGGCGCACAGTAGCGGGAGCATACACGGGGAAGCTAAAAGGAGCCGGGGTTAATTGTGCGCCTACCCTCATTAATTATAGGGTGTGCACGGCGCACTGAACCCCATCCCACCGTGCCCGTAAATAGCACGACAACCCCACTTTCCCATAAAACCCGAACAACTTTATGGCCTAACGCCGTTACTTGCTAAGCCAATAAATATTTGACACGTGTCACGCCGTTAGGGCGTCCTTGTTAGTACTGTCCCCCATACCGGGTATTACCGGTCACAGCGGCAAGGTTTTGTTTGGTCAATTTTTTTGTAGTTTTGTCCTTTTACGTCTTTGGTAATGAATTAATACTTCATTGGTCTACGGCGGATTTGTTTGGTTTGTACTATGATTTATTTTATTATATTTATCTTTTTGTGCTATTATATTTAATATTAAAAATATTTTTATATTTATATATTTTTTACAAATATTTTTTTATTAATATTATAATATATTAATGAAAATATTTTTATATATATACTTTTAATTTGTACTATATAATAATTATATTCAAATATCAATACGAAAAAAAATAAAAAATAGATAAGACCACTAAAGGGGACATAGGTAATATTTATTACTCTCTCCGTCCCACATAATTTGTCCCTATTTTATATTTTCGTCCGTCCCAAGTAACTTGTCATTTCTATTTTTGGAAATATAATTATGCACTTTAATCACATTTTAAATTTTAAATTTTAAATTTTATAATTTTCTTAACTTTAATTAAACTATTTACTTATTTTAATCTTAATCTATAATTATTTTTACTAATATACTTCTTAATTACTTACTAATTATATTTTACCTAAATTCTCATGTCTACAGTAATACATCCATATTACATGAGATGGAGGGAGTATTATTTTTTTAATTTAAGTTTGAATATTTTCTCCTTCTTTGAAAATTTAAAATAAAGTAGTATTTCAAAATTAAAGTAAAATATATAAAATATAATATAAAGATATTATAAAAAAATTGAGCAAACTATTATATTTGATCGAAAGTTTATTCAGAGCGCATCCGAAGAGTAATAATAGCAGATTCTCATGTTAAAAATAAAATATATTTTATAAATAATTGATAAAAAAGAATAATTGAATAAATAGAAATAATAATAATTAATTAATTTTTTTAATATACGAGTAATAACTTTTTAATAAATAACATTATTTACTATAAATTGTTGAAGTGCAAGCCTAAGTACTACTCAATTCCAACATAAATAAATAAATAGATTCAACATAAATTCTAGCACATGGAGTAATATTTTACCATAAATAAAAAGTAATACTCTTTTTGTTTGGAATCAATATATCAATTCTTATATTTTGATATGTACAAAATTGATATATTTAAATTTTCTTAATAATTTACTTTTTGTATAATTTAGAGTGTGTTTGTTTGAAAAATTTGGAAGGATTTACACTATTCACACAATTATATATATTTTTTAAAAAAATAAATCAAATACTTATTTTTTTCATATTATATTAAAAATAAATTTTACACTCAAAACATCACATCAATACTTATTATATCACATCATACTATTGTTCCAATTCAAATTTTTTACTATTCAAATTTCAATTCAAAATCCAAATCTCCAAACGTTCTACATAAACAATACTAATAATATAGTTTTTTTAAACATACAAACCAAACAATTTTTATGGTTTTTTTTTTTTTAATCATGGTTTGGAATGAAATGTGAATTTTTGAATTTTTATTTAAATAAGAGTAGTATTTTGATGTTACTTTATGAAAACATAGTATATTATTTAAAATTGTACATAATAAATAATGTTTGATTTTAGTTTAAAATCATAAAAAAACAAACATTAGGTAAATATTACCAAAAAAATAAAATAAAAAATACTACTCCCTCCATCACATTTCAATATATGTTTTTGTAGTTTTGTAATAAATTAAAAAATAATATTCCTTTGATCTCACTTACCGTGTCCATTTTTGTATATCACACTTATTTTGTCATTTTTTTTTTATAAAAGAATTATATACTTTAATATATATTTTTTTAATTGATACTATTTTTAAAATTTTAATTAGACTAATAAGTTATTTTAATTTTAATTTATAATTATTTTTATTATAAGATAATTATTTTACTAATACATATTTAATTATTTCCTAATAATACAATTCTTAAATTCTTGTCTATACATTTTATTGATTAGTGAAAATGTGTAGAAATTTTAACAATTTTACCATTTGGCTTTATGTATAAACTAATTGTATGCATATGATACATTTGTAATTTAAATAAAAATTATGATATTTTAGTATTGATGTATGATTACTTTTAATAAAATATGAAAATAATATTTTGAATGAGACAACAAAAAATGATAAAAAAAAACAATTTCAATGGAGACAAATGAGTATATACATATACGCACATATAATATATAATGTATATATATTAAATAAATACATAACGCGTAATTATTTTTTAATATATCTATTTTTGTTTTTAACAATATTACATAAAATGTTTGTTTTTATGCTGTTTGTTTAATGCATACAATTTATACAATTTTCGGCTTTGTTTCTTCAATAATTTTTTTAACATATTTTTTCAAAAAAATAAAAATAAAAATTAATATATTACATATATTCATTATTTTTATATTATATATACAATTATCTGTACTTTACATTAAAAAAATTTCTTAAAACCAAAATACAAAATAACACACCCGAAACTTATATTAGTTAAAAAAATTATTTAGATGAATATGCATGTAATATTAACAATTTATTTTTTATTTAGAAATTACATCGAATTTCTATTTTTTTAGTTGAAATATAAAGATATTAAAGTATTATTTTCAAAATGACTTGAAAATACTATAAAAATACTTCTAAATAATATATATAGTAGTAAATAATTATACAAAAAAACAACATTCATATACACATTTTTTACAAAAACAAAGGATTTTTTTTAAAAAGAATTTTGATTTTTGTTTAATATTATTATAATTTATCTTAATTTTGCAAAATATTTACTTATATAACATTCAAATCATTATTAAGAAAAAATTAAGAAATACTTAAAAACGTCATAAAGAATTATATATCAATTTTTTTTTTCTCTAAAAAATCAAATTAAACTTAGATTATTTATTTTTATATTATATTAATAATTAATTTGCCGTTGATTATTTTATTTAAATTTATTTTAGCTAGGCCTGACCTATCTTAAGTCTGATTTTTTTCCGTATAAAGTTCCAGTTTAATTTTTAAATTTTCAGACTTTCTAATTCTGGTAAGAGTTTCAATTAAATGTAATTAAAATAATTTATTGAAATAATTATGAGTAAAAAATTACATATATTAATTGTTATTAAAATTCATTACTTTTTTATATAAAAAATGAGATATTTAGATGAGATAATTTAAGAAAAAATAGCATTTTCTAGTTAGATGGAAAAAATATTAACCATATAATTACTTATAAATATGTACATTTAATAATCATGATCAATAGGTTGGGGTTTGTTAGAGGTTTGCATTTTAAATTTGAGTTTGAATAATAAAAAAATAATAATAATTATTTAATGTGATATAAATAAATATATATTATAATTTGAATACAAAGTAATTTTTATTATAATATAGATTATAAAAACAAATGTTTAATTTTATATTTTTAGAAAAAAATTGAATGGATAATTTAAATTCATAAAAATCCTTAAGACACATGCGATTTGTTTTGTTTTTTGGTATGAATATATATATTTTTAATGCAAAATATATAAAATTGTGTAGATAATATAAAAAAATTTAATGTATGTAGTATATTAATTTTTTTTTAAAACCCATAATTTAGTTTTCTTTTGAGAAAATTTTCGCACATTTTTTTTAAATTACTTTATTACAAAAAAAAATTGGATATTTTTTGCTAAAAGAATACATCCATACATAAATTATATAATACCCATTATATTTTTGTATAAATGTATAAAATACTTTATATTTTATTTATTATGTAAAATAATTATATTAAATTAAAATATGCACAAAATATTGTTAATCCAAAACTGATGTAACAAATAGAATATTATGTACGTATTTTAATTAAAAAAAACTCCAAACAATAAATAAAAAGTAGGTATTTTGTATATTTTTAAGTATAATATAATTATCTTGAGTTAAATTCATACTTTTTAAAATTTTATATTATATAAATTTTAATTTTAAAATATTATATTAACAATAATTTATAGTATTACAATAACTAATTATTCAAATTAAATTTTATTTACAAAAATCAAATACTACAAAATCGATTTCCCCAAACAAACACCGCCTTAGAGAAAATAGAAAAAAAGCAGCCAAACGCGGCCTTAAGAATTAACCGGTGGAACAATTCACGGCAGTTAAATGCTCATTACTGACTCTTCTGCTGTTCATCTCCATTTCCATTTCTCTTTCCCAAACCCTTTTTTTTTTCTCTCTCTCTCTCTCTCTCTCTCCTCTGCTGCCGATACTGCTCCCCATCTCATTGCCCCTTCAGTTTCCTCCGCTTCCAGATAATTCTTATCCTTCCTGCTCGCTCACGCACCAAATCTCCGTCACGGGACCGCTCCGCCGAGGAAGAAAATCTCCCAATTAAGTCCATACCTAGGTTTTTTTATTTCGATTTATTCGAAGAAAAAAGCAATTCTCCGATTGAGCAGCTTCTGGTAATTTTTGTACCTGGGTTTTGGGGGTTTGTTGATTTTCCAGTTCTTTGTGGGGTTGGGAGATGAGAGATCTGAGCTGGGGTTGAGTGTTCGAAGAAATGTCTGCTTCCGAGGTTTCGATCAAGGGTTACAATGATGCCAACGACTGCAATTCCGCAACGGAAAAGGCGAATTCCGCCTCGGGGACAGGTAATTTGTAGCTCGAAATTAGGGTTTTCTCCTCGACCATGGCTGCTCATATATATATTATAATTGTTTTTCTTACACAGTCGACGCCGGGACGGCGCTCTACACCGAGCTATGGAAGGCCTGCGCTGGTCCGTTGGTGACGGTGCCTCGCGAAAACGAACTCGTTTTCTATTTCCCTCAGGGTCATATAGAACAGGTTTTCTTCTTCTTCCAACTCTCTTGCTTATTCTCGTTTTTAATTTTTCTCCCATTCTGGAAAAGCGTTTTAAATCGGAAACCGTGGTTGATCTAGTTTGTTCTTAATTTCCCCCAATTTTGTTCTCGAATTTGGGGGTTTTTGCATCAGTAGACGCGTTGAAAACCCTAATTTGGTATCTTGATTTAATATTAACCTAATCGTCTATGAACAATAGGTGGAGGCGTCTACCAACCAAAGTTCGGACCAACAAATGCCTCTGTATAATCTTCCTCCCAAGATTCTTTGCAGAGTGGTGTATGTCAATTTGAAGGTACCTGAAAAAATTCGACGAGTAATTCGAGCAACGAATTGATCCTTATTTTTTCTGGTCTTGTTCATGGTTCTCGTGTTCTAATTGTTGGCTGCCATCTTCGATGTTCGATAGGCCGAGCCCGACACGGATGAGGTCTATGCGCAGATTACTTTGATGCCTGAACCTAAAGTGAGTTGTGAATTTTGATTCCATATCATTTTTCTTACATTTGGTTTAGATTTCATTAATTCTCTGACGAGATTTTTTCATTTCCCAGCAAGACGAGAACGCAGTGAAGAAGGAGCCTCTTCCGGTGACGCCACCTCGATTTCATGTCCATTCTTTTTGTAAGACTCTTACTGCATCGGACACTAGCACTCATGGTGGTTTCTCTGTGCTGAGACGCCATGCCGATGAATGTCTGCCCCCACTGGTTAGGATGGATCTAGCTCTGAGTTTTATTTGTTTGTAATTTCAGATGTTTGGGTTGGTGTTCTTATTCAGACTGGTTTGGTTGGTTTCTTTGGTGGTAGGATATGTCGAAGCAACCTCCCACTCAGGAGCTAGTGGCCAAAGATTTACATGGGAACGAGTGGCGATTCAGACACATATTTCGTGGTAAGTTTCACACGGATCTTTTGACTTTTTTGCCTTCCTGATGTCCTTTATGTACGCATTTTCTCCGGTCAAACAGCCAGAAATGATTCGGGGTGTGTTTATTAGGTGTGTTTTGGATGTTTTTGTTTATTTTAGATTATAAATTTTTTGAGTGGGATTTGGACATCTTTTGGGATTTGTTGATTTGGTTTATTGTGTTCATTTAAATGATTTTTGAACATCGTTTGGGATGTTTTTGAATGATTTAGTGTTTTTTATTTTCTGGAAAGGAAACTAGATTCTTTGATGGGCAAGAACTTGTAATGGATTCAAATCTTTTGAATGAGAAGCATGTTTAGTGATGTAGTTTCTTAAATGGATAATTATTTTCCGGGAGAAATTATTTTATGTACAACAGAAACAAAAGTGTGGAATATAAGTTAAATGTTAATGAAAAACTGTGTCCTTTGAACAAGTGTACATGAAACTTGTGAAATATGCTGATGTTGGGTCGTCAATATTGTACATTTCTTAATTGAGATACATATTTTTTCCCCAGGTAATTTCTCAAGTAGTAATCTCAGTTTTTTGGGGCCGAAAGTGGTTAATATTTGAAATCGCCGAAATTTGGAAAATGATGTGAAAGGTGGAGTTTTGTTTTTCTATGTAGAATAATAATGCTATCAAATTGTTGTTTGAATTTCAGGTCAACCGCGGCGACACCTCCTTCAGAGTGGTTGGAGTGTCTTTGTTAGTTCTAAGAGGCTCGTTGCCGGAGATGCCTTTATTTTCTTAAGGTTCGTTAGACACTTTAATACCATGAAATTTACAGTCGTATACATTCTGTATCTGAGTTTGTTCTCTATTTTATATTAGAGGGGAGAACGGGGAGTTGCGCGTCGGCGTTAGGCGAGCCATGAGGCAACAGAGCAATGCTCCGTCGTCGGTCATATCTAGCCACAGCATGCATCTCGGTGTTCTGGCGACGGCGTGGCATGCCATTCAGACGAAAACCATGTTCACAGTATATTACAAGCCTAGGTACGTGCAGCTTTGCGCAGACACTTGTTACGCTTCATGGATAAGATTAAATTGATTCCTTAACCTTGTCGTTTGTGCGCTGTTACAGAACGAGCCCTTCCGAGTTCATTGTCCCTTACGATCAATACATGGAGTCTGTTAAAAACAATTATTCGATTGGAATGCGATTTAAAATGAGATTTGAAGGCGAAGAAGCTCCAGAGCAGAGGTGAGCTTTTCTTTAGGATCGTAATGACTTTTCGGGTTACATTATGAATTTCTCGGATACAAATTTATGCTTACTGTTAATTTTTTTTAGGTTTACTGGTACCATTGTGGGTATTGAAGATGCCGATCCAAAAAGGTGGACTGATTCAAAATGGAGATGCCTTAAGGTAATTACACTACTGTTAACAAATTTCGATTATGCGAATGTACTGTATCCAACATAATTCTGAGAATCTGTTTTTTTTGTTCTGCTGTAAGGTGCGATGGGACGAAACTTCTGCAATTCCTCGACCCGAGAGAGTTTCTCCGTGGAAAATCGAGCCGGCAGTTTCTCCAGCAGCCCTGAATCCTATTCCAGTAGCCCGACAAAAGAGGCCTCGATCAAATGTCCTTCCCTCATCCTCTGAATCATCTGTCCTAACTAGGGAAGGTAGTTGCAAACCTAACTCGACCGGAGCTTTTCTTCTACTGCTGGATTTCTTTCGATTATGGTGTTTGTGTTTCATCTGGTTCAGGTCCATCTCGGATTGTTGTAGACCCTTCACTACCCAGTGGGTTTCCGAGGGTCTTGCAAGGTCAAGAAACACAGACCTTGAGAGCTACTTTCGGGGAGAACGAATCAGAGTCATCCGAGAAGGCTGATGCTACTGCTGCTTCAAGAAGACACGGGTCCGAAAGATGGTTGCCGATTGGAAGGCCGGAGCAATCTTTCACAGATCTGTTGTCGGGTTTCGGGTCGCATCGCGATTTGGGTAAACCTATCGGCGATAATTCAGCTTCCAAGAGACAGCTGCAAGCAAACGACGTAAAATATAACAGCTTAAATGGCAGCCCGTGGTCGTCGGTACTGTGCTCCGGCCTCTCGCTTAACCTGATGGATTCCGGCATGAGTTCTCACGGGCAAGGAACCGATGCTTGCCGTGTCGGCGGCGATGCAGGCTACAGCGCCTTTCGGGAGTTTTCGTTGGTTCCGTATGCTAGAGGAGACAATCAGCAGCAAACAAATTGGTTGATGCCGCCTCCTGTGTCGCCGTACGCTCAAGTTACGCCGCAGTCTCGAGAAGTGTTGCCGTCGAAGCCCGTGTTTGCGCAACCGCAAGATGCTGCGAAATCGAAAGATGGAAATTGCAAGCTTTTCGGTATTCCCCTTAGAAATAATTCGGCGTCATTCGAGCCGGCCTTGTCGAACAAAACTGTAGCAGCGGCCGAGCCAACGTGCCAATTGCCGATTGTGGAGTCTGACGACAAATCCGAACAATCGAAGGGTTCGAAAGGGAATAATCCCGTTGCACCTCGGGAGCAGGAGAAGCTGTTTAATAGTAACTTTTCTCCGGTATCTAGAGACAAAGAAACGAAAGTCCATTCTTCTTCGACGAGGAGCTGCACCAAGGTCCTTATCTCGATCAATAATTTGAGTTTTTTCTCGTATTTATTTTTCATAATTTTGATTTGATTGTATTTTTTATTTTTAGGTTCATAAGCAGGGGTCTGCCCTGGGTCGGTCTGTGGACCTATCAAAGTTCAACAACTACGACGAACTGATTGCTGAGCTGGACAATCTCTTCGAATTCAACGGCGAACTCAAGGCGCGGAGCAAGAATTGGCTTGTTGTGTATACGGACGACGAGGACGATATGATGCTCGTTGGAGATGATCCGTGGGAGTAAGGATCTCTTATCGTCATTACCGGATAATCTTTTGTGTGCTCTCGACTAATTTTCTTTCTTTTAAACAGGGAATTTGTCTGCATGGTGCGCAAGATTTTGATCTTGACGAAGGAAGAAGCCCAGCGGATGAATCCGGGCAGCTTCAACTCGAAAGGCGAAGACACCTCGTCTGTTGCAGAAAGCCTCGACACTAAAGAAGTGAAGAATTTGCCGACAACGTCGTCCAGCCCAGACGATGTCTAACCTCTTACTGGTATTTATTTCATTATTATTGTCATGATTATAGCGCCTGGCCTGGCCAGGCCAGGGATTCTTTGTAAGCATTCTAACCTCTGTGGATGTGTCGGTAATGTTACTACAGGCGAGGATTGGACCCGACCGGACTGTAGTAAGTACAACATCCATCAATGGGGACGACGTTAAATAAGAGGTATGTGTAGAAAGGCAGGCCCGTGAAGTTGTTGACACCGACTATTCTATATGTAGATGCAGTTTTAGTATAGAATCTCGATGCCCTGTCCGACTTGACTGGACTTGCGTTGCCGTGTTTGTCGATGATGGATACATCTCTGTGTCTTTCTTTTTATATTGAGATATGATATGAATGAATTGTTTGTAAATAGGTCCTTCAGTCCTATACAGTTGAGTAATGGTGTTTTGGTGTAGTGATTATATATTTGAATTGTCTTGTAGTATTGCACAAGATTGCTATTTGGAGATTTGTTAAAATGGTTGATTGGGAGATTTAAATATATATATTTATCAAGTATGTTATGAATTAGTTTTACTTGGTAATGATTGTTGACATCTGTTTCTGTGGGTTGGTGGCAAATGTTTTGGTTTAGGTTTTGTATATTACTCCATGCTATGTACTATGTTCATGATGTAGTTTTTATCTGTCTGTCATGTTTTTTTTTTAAAAAAATAATTATACACTTTAATTTTATTTTAAATTTTTAAATTTTATTTATTTTTTAAATGTTAATTAAATAATTAGTTATTTTAATTTATAATTATTTATATTATAGGATAATTATTTTTATTAATATATTTTTAATTATATACTAATTAAATCATTTTTAAAATACCTACGTAGTATTTAGTTAGTTTAATAGGAAAATTTGAAAATATTGTGTTTAAAGAAACACACTATGTTTCTGTGCAGAACTAACACATGGTATTATTACATATAATATACTGTATACATGATATAGTAATATATTATTACAGACAATATATTGTATATATTCACATAATACAAATACAATACATGAATTTAAAACATATGTTATAGTCTCGTATAGCACATACTTTTATACAACACTATCATAACAAGAAAAACAACACGTACTTTTTTACACTGTATTTTATGTAATAATAATATGTGCTGTTTGTAAATATAATGGGTACTGAGTTTTTCTAATCAGTACCTTAACCGTCCCCGTTTGATTGAATTTTACGTGGAACTTTTTCATGAAATGCAAATGTTGCTCTTGCTTTGAGTTTTCAACATTTCACTTTTATGTATAGCTTTTAATAAATATGTTCTACTCTGTCTGTCCGACTTAAGAGTTTTATTTATCTTTTGCGTTATTGTATTTAACATTAAAAATATTTTTATATTTGTATAATTTTTTACACAAATGTCATTATAATAATATTATAAAATACTAATAGAAGTATTTTTGTCATTTTTTTTTTTAATTTGTAATACATTTTTATATAATAATTAATATTCAAATATGTAAACATGAAAAAAAATAAATAAAATTTTTAGAGTCGGATGAAAGTATTATTTACTTATAAAAAATATATATTGTCTCTTTACTAAATCTATATCTTTTATGTGGCCACAAAAAATCTGTATTTCTTTTTTTTTTTTTATTTACATTATATATTGTAATTATTTATATATTTAATTTATTCAAAAAAAATTTCTTTCAAAAATTTATTCTTTCCAACTATTCATTCCGTCCGATTTCAATTGTCTCTATTTTTTTTTCTGTCTTATTTCAATTGACACGTTTTTATTTTTAATAAATTTTACTAAATTTATATATATTTAACAAATATAAATCAACTTAATTAACTTTATAATACATAACATCACTTGTTATATATATGACCACACAAAATCCTTTTATTTTTACTATCTCTTCAATAAACAATTATTGTAATCTACATTTAAAATTCTATCATTTTTATAAAATTAATTGATCTTAATTATAAATAAATAAATATATATTTTTATTTATTTGTATTATTTGAAATTTTATTCTCTACAAAATGATATCTGCATATATTTTTTTGAGATATAATATTTAAATTATTTAAACAGACATTTCAAATTTATTTTAATTATATATTAATTCCTACTTTAAAATTACTAACTATACTATTTATATAAAAATATAATAAAAAATATCATTAACTCACTCTTAGTAACTAGTTAAACAACTTTACCTTAATTAATACTCCCTCCGTCCCACATAATTTGTTCATATTTTCTATTTTCGACTGTCTCATATAATTTGTCATTTTTTTTTTGGAAAATTGATTATACACTTTAATCATATTTTTAAATTTAAAATTTAAATTTTTTTAATCTTAATTAAACTATTTAGTTATCTTTATCTTAATATATATAATTATTTTTACTAATACACTTCTTAATTATTTACTAATTATACTTTACCTAAATTTTCGTATCTACAATAATGCGTCCATCTTATCTAGGACGGATGAAGTATTTCTCAAATGAAATGAGCCATTTGAAATGAGACAGAGGGATTATACATCAATTTATCTATAATATCTATTTTATGTCACAATTATTAATATAATACTTCCAAATATAATAGTCTTGTTTACCACTTTTGTCTGTTTCAAAACAATAGTCTTATTTCCATAAATAACCATATCACCGTAAAACTATCCATATTTTTTTCATTATTATTACACAATTGTCACTACTTTTTACACTAATATACTCACAACAACAAAAAAGTTATTTATCATTACATTTTACCTACTACCAATATAATATCAATATTCCAATTTCGTGCCCCATACAATAGGACTATATTTTCTGGAACGGAGGGAATATTATATATTAACTAAAATTTTTGTTCAATTGATTTGAACATATATTTGGTAGATAAAGATAATCCAAACCATGCAAATTATAGAGTTTGTTTATTTAATATCTTTAGTTGGTATATTTTTCTATAAATACTAATAAAAATATATATAATATATATTCATAAAAAGTAATATTTTTAATATAAAATATATATTATTTATATTATAATATAAAATAATATTACTTTCGTCCGGTTCTAAGGATTTCATTTATTTTTGCATGCTGATATTTGAATATTAATTATTATATAAAAATATAGTACAAAATAAAAATAATAAAAATACTTATATTAGTGTCATATATTATTATAACGATTTGTGCAAAAAATTATACAAATATAAAAATATTTTTACTGTTAAATACAATGACGCAAAAAATAAATGAAATATTTCGAGTCGAACAATGAGAATATATTTCTAAACAAATTCAAACTTGTTTATAATTCACTTGTTTAAAACGTATACCCCATTTGTTTTATGATTTAAATATTTTATAAAATCCATTTAATGCTTTTTAAAATATTGTACATAATTTTTATTTATTATTATTATTTTTAAATTGTACAATATTTTTTTTAAATATAAATGAGTTTTATGTAATTTTTTAAATCATGAAAAACAATTGTGCATACTTTCCAAATAAGTATTTTCTTGTTTTTTTTTTCCTAAAAGTTAACTGAAATGGCTAAATTGAAAAGGACATTACCAATTGTTATTTAATATATATATATATATATATGTATTTTCGGAAATTGATTTTTCTGCTGAATAATGTTTTATTAAGTAAAAGAAATTGAGTTTTTCCCATAAAAAATAAATAAATAATTCAGTAAGAAAATTTGGCAGAATGTGTAATTATAAGAGGATCTTGACCTTATTTAAAAGGTGTAAAAAAAAAAAAAAACTCAACAATAATACTAGTATAGAAACCTAAGAACAAAATAAATATTCGAATAATTTTTTTTTATTATAAATAAATTATGCATAAATTTAGTCGATAATAATAATAAAAAAATAGTAATATAATTTCAATGAATGAGTGGTAAAATGAATACATTAATTATATATATAAAAAAACATAATAGAGGTGGCAATTTCAGACGGTCCGTTCTACACTGCCGGGGCAGGTCCGGCCCGTTTTATGTCGGACATAAGGGCCGAGGTCTGGCCCGGTTCAAACTCTGCCAGGCTGGCTGGCCCTTTTTTTTTTTTTTTTTTTATATATATATATTCTAAAAATAATTAAGAATTTAATCATTAAACTATACTTTATTTTTTGTTTATAAAAATTAATTGTTAATATACTCATAAAATTGTTTATTTTTAAAAATATTTTTAATTTATTAAGTGAGTCGGGCCAGATACAGTCCAAAATATTTTCGGCCTTATTATTTTAAGTCCAAATATGATTTTTCCATGCCGAATTCGGATCAATTTTTTAAAACTCGGACCCTAAACTTATATATCGGGTGTAGGTGAAAGTCAAGTCCGTTCTTAAACTTTAAAAATCGGACTAAAAAAGATTATATAAAATATCCAACATATGCCCGGCCTACTATATGAATAAGTAGACCGGACTTCAATTAACTGGGTCAGGTACAAATTGATTTTCAAATCTATTCGAATCTATTATCATCCTTATAAGTTGTAATTTTCTATCGACTCACCTGGACGAACTTCTAAAAAGAAAACAAAAGCAACAACTGACAATAAAATAACATCATCCAAACAATCGAAAAGCTATTATAAATGAAACCAAAATCTAAGTTCATAACAATACGATAGAATCAGCAGTTCAGAAAACCAAAACAATTCATTGAAAATTTAATTTCTTCTAAATAAATGAGATAATCCAAAGACATAACTAGATACTCTTAAGAGAGACTACGGTTCGATCCAACCCAATCCAATCCGATCCAATCTGATCCAATCCATACATCGACGACGATCACACCATCCCTTGAAACCCAGCCGAGTCGAGCAACACCGCCTTGATTTGATCCGGGCTGAGATCTTGTCCCTCCACGCATTGCTAAGATACACCGACACAAACAATCGCAAAAATTTACTATTATGCATAAGAAGATCAAACCGAATTCTTAAATGAAATACCCAATTCGACTTTATAAAGCTCGATAAGATAATAATCTTTATATAATAATATCTAACACATAAAAATCAAGCTAGATGCTATTTCACTTGATTAAGTAAACTCAAGATCGGCTTAATTAAAAACAAAAACTCGAAATGTACAAAGACATTCGAAATACATTAGGCTGTGTGTGTTTGAGAGTATGAATTTTGAATAGTAAAATTTTAAATTAGCAAAATTGTTTGATGTGATATAAATAGATACAATATATTTTGACTGTAAAAATTAATTTCTAGTGTAATATAAAATTATAAAAATAGTCATTTAATACGATATATTTTGACTGTTAAAATTGATTTGATTTGATTTGATTTGATTTTATAAATAGTGAAATCCCTAAATAATATATATACCTCGGCTCGGAAGACGTCCAATGCGAACCCGTTAAAGCAACTTATGACGGCTTGTTGCACGTCGAGTCCGAGGTTGTCCATAGCTTTCAGTGTTGACAGCAACAACCCGGGTTTCCGGCCGCAAAACATGTGGATGTTCACGGCGCGACCCTCGCGCACACGAACCTCGACCTATCAACGACAAAAAATTTATTTTTCAGACAAAATATGTATCTTTAAAAAAAAAAAGAAAAAAACAAAGATAAACTTTTTAGTTAGATTACCCGGGCTGGCTGCCCGGTCGGGCTCGAAAGCGGGCTTGCGAACGCGCTCGGGCAAAGCTCTTCTTTGATGCGCGGCGGGAGGCCCGGATTGGTCGGCGTCAACGGGTAAAAGCTCGTCGTCGAAGGAGTCACGGAAGAGCTACTCGGGATCGACTCGAGCTCGTTGTGAAGATCGTTGATCTTTTGCAAAAGTTCCTTCAAGTAGTCGATCGCGTCGCCTAATATCGACGCGCGATCCATCTGTCGTTCAAGTATTATTAATCAACGTAAAATTATATACTTTCTAATTTTTTTACTATTCAATCTAAAAATTATAAGTGTGTTCTTTAATCAAATTTTTCTAAAATTTTAGAATTTGAATTGTACGTTTTCAAAAAAAAATAATTCCTTTAATACTAAATTCAAATCATTTTTTCTCAAACTAACTATTTTAAAAATAAAATTAAAATACAAAAGCATAGTTTTTTTTTTTTTTTTTTTTTAATACTAAATTGCTAAGATAGGAATCATAGATCCTAATTAGACTAAAAATTGAATGACCTCTAGATGTAAGTATGGATAAAAATTGAATGTGTACAATCAATGTAAACAAAATAAATTGAATTTGATTTTCAATATGTCAGAGAGGAAATTGAAGTCCACAATTTCAAATAAATAATAAAAATTATATATATTTTTTTTGTGTGACTATCAAATAAATAATGTCTCATCTCCTGTCTGTGGTCCAAACTGTAAGATTATATTTATTTAATTATATATATATATATATCGATGAATAAAAGAATTTTCAAATTTGTTCATAGATTCCATGTGACTGAAATAAATGCCATCGCAAAAAACTTTAATGTGCTTACCTCTCAATCAGCAAATGTAAAATAAAATATTCACAGTAAAAATAAATAATAAACAATGCATAAACTAGAGAACAAACAAGAAGAATGCACTTAATTTACTATCCATTATTTATTCTATAGTAAAAAATATTTAATTTACTTTAAAAATATAATAGTAAATATATATATTTATTATTCAGAATTTTCAAATTCAAAACATTCGAAAACACACCAACAAACATAGAACAAAAATTCAAAAAAAAAAAAAAAAAAAATATCAATAAAAAAAAACTGGCAACGAATGTAAACCCTCGATTTATAACTAATGCATGTTCAAAATTAATTAATTTGAAATTTATTTTTCAATTTCTTTATCAAAATCTTCACTAATTTACTTCGTGTATGTGTGTATATATATAGAACATATTCAAAATTAATTATTTTGAAATTTATTTTTCAATTTCTTTATCATAATCTTAGTTAATTTTTTATTATATATATATTTTTTCTCACAAAATATCATATTCAACTCGCTAGCTTCAAAATAATAATAATAATAATAAAAATATCATCGACTAAACACATCCACAAATTTCTAACATGCATAATTCAAGAGACAATAAATAAATAAATAAATTAATTAATTAAACAAAATAAATAAATAAATAAATAACGTACCTTGCTAATCTTGGGCACGACGGACCTCAGCATAAGCAACCTATCGTTAAGCTTCTGCCGGCGGCGCCTCTCCGCCATCAGATTCTTCGCCGGCGGGCCTTTCTTCTTCCCTTTAGGATCCACATTGGCGACGCCACCACCACCACTACCACTAGCCCCACCACCACCACCGCCGCCACTCTTGGCGGCGCCGCCCTCCTCCTTGTTGTTAAGCGCGGCGGCGTAGTCCAAAAACTGGTCGTCGGAATCGTAATTGAGATTCGATCCGTCGATGCTTACATCCTCGGCCATGTCGTCGCTGCTGCTCTTCCTCTTCCTCTCGTTGACGATGTCTTCATTTTTGTTTTCGAAGGAATTAATAATGCTCGAAATCGAAATATTATTATTATTATTATTATTGTAATTATTATTATTGTTGTTGTTGGCGATTGTTAGAGAGCCTAAATTGGTGATGTTCAGATTCTTTCGAAGGGCAGCTCGTTTTTGGAACAAAGTGGGTTGTGATCCGACGGTGGTGAAGTTTTCGAGGGGTTTAAGGATCTTGTTCCTGTTGTTGTTGTTGAAGAAATTGAGGGAGGTCCCGATCATGGAGGATTCGCCAAACCCTAATCCCCCAAATCCGTTTTGATCGATTTGGGGAGGTAAGAAGTCGTTGAATCCGCCATTAATGGCGCTTTCGAGGTAGCCATTGCTGGAAATGTTGGATTCGGGGAGCAATTCGAAGCTGTTGAGGTTGTTAGGGGTTGGGTGGGGGTGGGGGTGGGTATGGGTAGGGTAGCCTCCGACGACCTGGAAGGGGTCGAGATTGGGGGAGAAGACGGAGGCGGAAGTGGGGGAGCATGACGCGGCGGCGGGGGGGAGGAGGAGGTTGTGGTTGGCGGCGGACGGCGGCGGCGGCGAGGGGAAGCCGGCGGTGAGGGTGTACCAGTCGTCGGAGTCGGCGTCGAGCATGGATTTGAAGGTGGAGAGGGCGCCGATTTGGTCGATATCGGATTTGGTTGGGTCGATTCCGGCGGCGGCGGTCGCGGCGGCCCAGGACGGCGGGGCTTGGTCGGCGACGGCTGCGGTGGCGACGGCTTTGCCGCCGCCGGCGTCCTCCATGTTCCAGACCATACTGTTAACTCTTGACAGCATTTTTTTTTTCTTTTCTACGCAAGAACTGATTTTTGGTCTGAGACTAATGTAGATATATATATATAGAGAGAGAGAGATATATAGAGTGAGAGGGTATTTGGAGGAGAGAGAGAGGGAGAGGTTGTGGCAAAATACCTGCAGATACAGATATATATATATACATACATAAAAATGTAATTTTGGTAGGTGTCATCATTACAAGTTTAGGGTCCGTTAAGTTTTGCAAGGTTTCTCTCTCTACAATTTTGCGTTTTAAAAATACAAAACAAAATAATATAAAAATTAATTAAAAAATTGTATAATTAAAAATAATTATAATATAATACAATTAATTATAAATTAATTAATATAACTAAAATGTTTAGTTAAAAGAAAAAATATAAATGATAAATTTTAAAATATAATTAAAGTGTATAATTATATTTAAGAAAAAAAAAAGATTATTTATGTAAGACGGAAAGATATGAAAATAGTGGACAGATTATTAATTACATAAAAAAAATACCAGTAATATCATAATTTACTATTATTAACTAATTAAATACTACTATTTTCGTCCCGCTTGAAGGGTCCAATTTATTTTTTATTTGTTGATATTCGAATATTAATTTTTATATTAAAGGTAGTACAAATTTAAAAAAATTACAAAAATAATTATATTAATGTCTTATAGTACTGATAGAAAGATATGTGTACAAAAAATTATACAAATATAAGCATATTTTGAATGTTAAATACAATGACACAAAAGTTAAATATGATTAGAGGCAAACTGAGAAAATATCATCGCCATCTTAAATATTGTATCACTAATGAAAAATATCAATTTATCTGAGACAGTAATATTTTATTTTTTTAATGAAAATGTGAATAATTTTAACCTTTTTGATTTTGTAAGTACGGAGTAAAGGAATAATAATTTGTAAAAATATTAAAAATATTTTGGTATTTATATATTTCTTCAGTCTGTTGTAATTATACTATTTTTTTTTATTATTCGTTAAATTTATATATAATTTATTTATAGCAAAAATAGCTTTATTCATCCATAATTTTATTATTTATATTTTAATAAATAATAATCATTTATCACTATTTTTTTCTACTTATTACATCATATTTTTATTATTTTTAATAATTTTTTTTATAATACACTCATTTTATTTTTTACCTACCAAACTTTTATATTAAAATTTCTCTATTTTTTATGTTCCATGCCCAAGTAATAAATAAAAAAAATTATTCAATGTAATATTTTGTACAATAAATCAATTTTTTATAATAAGTTTGTTTAGTTTTGATTTGAATTTGAGTTTTTTAATTAAATATTATATAGTATAAAAGAAAATAATAGTATATTTTTTTTATTAAAATTTATACCTACAGAATAATATTAATTTTGATTTAAATAAAAAATAAAAATTTAATATAATATACTTCTTCCGTCTCACTTAATTTGTCCATTTTTTCTATTTCGGTCCGTCTCACATGATTTGTAATATTTTTTTTTTTAAATATAATTATATACTTTAATCACATTTTAAAATTCATAACTTATAATTTTTTTATTTTAATTAAACTATTTTAATTAATCTTAATCTATAATTATATTTATTAAATCATAATTACTTTTACTAATAAACTTTTTAATTACTTACTGGTATTAAGCATGTTTTTTTTTAAAATATAATTATACACTTTAATTATATTTTAAAATTTATCATTTATAAATATTTATTTTAATTTTAATCTATAATTACTTTTATTAAATCATAATTACTTTTACTAAAATATTTTAAAATTATTTACTAATTATTCAGTATCTAAAATTTCATGCTAAAGCTAAAAAAAAATAATTTAAATAAGACGGAAGAAATATATATTTTAAAAAATAATCTAAGTAATGAATTGTATTAGAAGTGATTCATAAAGTACGAATAAAGCTTTCAATTTTTTTTTTTTAATTTTTTTATTTAAATTAAAAAAGAAAAGACATTGGAAAATAATTGTGGGCAAATGTAAGGATTTTGGGGCTTTTTTCAGGGGAAAATGTCACGAAGGTTGTTAAGGTTGGAATTTTGTGTATAATTAGGAACCCTTCTTGTAATCATTACATATCAGGTAATTTTTGTGTGTTTCTTTCTCTCTCTCACTCTTTCTCTCTCTACAAATATATTTATTTATTTATATATATATATATATATATTCTTTTGCCATTTAAATCAGCAGAGAATGTGCTGTCTTTGAGGATTTTTGTATGTACATGGCCCTTACTAATTCACTTTTATATACTAGTATTAAATTTTATTTTTTATTTTTTTTTAAAAAATTATATGGTGTAACGAAATAACTTTATGGTATTCAATGTATATAATTTATGAATAACTGGCATGAAATCATAATGTGATAAGAATTTTCTTAATAATATAACTAATATACATTTTATTATAATATAAAATATAAATATTAATTAGTCATCGTCCACGATAATTTCATGAATTACTAAATCTTTTAGAATTTAATATATGGATACTATTATAATTACTTATATAGCTGTTGGGACGACGAGTCGCCGTTTACATGGAGAGTTAAATAATATCGGGACAATAAATTTATTAACAAATTTGGGCCCACCATAACTGTCGATGGTAAGTTATATTATATTACCGATGTAACGGACCCACCGTAATCATTATTGTAAACGTTATCAATAATGTGAAATGATTGTAATTTGATATTACCGATGTAGTGGGTCCATCACATATAATATTACATAAATCTGATTATAATTATATTATTGCAACACAATATTAACGAGGAAAAATTTAAACTATTGATATAAATTAGGCAATTTATAATCATTATTATAAGTAGCATAAAAAATGTGATAATAATATTACCGATGTAATGAGTCCACTACAATCATTATCATAAACGTTATCAATAATGTAAAATAATTGTAATTTGAATATTACCGATGTAATGGGTTCACTGCAATCATTATTGTAAACGTTATCAATAATGTAAAATGATTGTAAGTTTAATATTACCAATGTAATAAGTCCATCACAAAGAATGTGCTATGTGTCGTTTATTATAAGCATTGTTATTATTGTGACACAGTACTAATGAAAGATATCAAATTATCGATGTAACTGGTTTATGTATAATCTTTATTACAAATGGTATCAAAATTGTGATACAATTTTAATTTAAAATTACAATTGTAATATACATTAAATCATAATATATAATAAGAATGTTCTTCATAGCATAATTTTTTCGAAACCATAACTACTTATATACATTTCACTATAATATAAATATTCATTAATCATCGTTCACGACAATTTCATGAATTATCGAAATTTCGAGAATCTAACATATGGATACTATTATAATTATTTATATAACTGTCGAGACGATGAGTCGATGCTTAAATGGTGAGTAAAATAATATTGGGATAGTAAGTTTATTAATAAATATGGACCCACATAACCATCGATAGTAAGTAAATATTATAATACCGATGTAATGGACCCACCGCAATCATTATTGTAAGCGTTATGAAGGTAAAATGATTGTAGTTTGATATTACCGATGCAGTGGGTCTCTCACAGAAAATATTATGTAGGTTTTACCATAATTATATTATTATGATACAATATTAACGAGAGAATTTAAATAATCGATGTAATTAACCTTTTTATATCATTATTACAAGTAGCATCAATAATGTGATACAATATTATCAATGTAATAGGCCTACTATAATTATTATTGTAAATATTAACAATAATGTAAAACGATTGTAATTTGATATTACTGATGTAATTGATCAATCACAGAGAATATTATATGAACCTACCATAATTATTATTATTGTGACACAATATTAACGAGAGATATTGTAAAGTCACAGTGGATATAATATTAATATTATATTACCAATATAGTGGGCTGACCGTAAAAATTATCAATAATATAAAATTATTGTAATTTAATATTACTGATGTAATAAGAGTCCATCACAGTTAATATTATATGGATCCTACCATAATTGTTATTATTGTGGTACAATATTTTGAATGACAATTTGATTAATCAATGTAATTAATCTATTTAATAATTATTATCATAAATAGAATCAACAATGTGATATAATTTTAATATTATATTATCGATATAGTGGTCTTTCACAATAAATAGTATATGAATCTTACCATAATAATTATTATAAATATTGTTATTATTGTGATACAATATTAAATAGGTATAATTTAAACTTTTGATGTAATTAACATATTTATAAAAATTATTACAAGTAGCATCATCAACAATGTGATACAAATTTAATAATATATCACCAATATGCAATGGGCCCATTGTAATAATTATTGTAAGTATCATCAATAATGTAAAATAGTTGTAATTTGATATGATGTAATGAGTTTATTGCAAAAAGAATGTCATAAGTCCTACCGTAATTGTTATTATAGACATTTTTATTATGGTGACACAACATTAATGAAAAACAATTCAAATTACCGATGTAATTAGTCTATGCATAATCATTATTACAAGCGGCATCGACAATGTGATACGATTCTAATTTAAAATTGCAGTCGTAATAGATTCATCACAAAATATTATATAGATATTACTATAATTATCATTATAAGAATTATTGTTATCATGACACAAGATGTCAAAAACAATTCAAACTATCGATATAATAAAATCAACAACGTAATATGATTTTAATTTGATATTACTAATGTAATGGATCTCTACCACAAAAAATATTATGAACATTGTTACAATTATAAAACAAACTTAACGAGAAACAATTCAAACTTTCAATGATATGTACATGATTATAATAATTATTACAAATAATATCAACAATATGATACAATTCAAATTTAATATTACCAATGTAAAGAATCTATCACAGAATATGATATGAGTCCTATTATATTTATTAATATATACATTATTATTATCATCGTGAAATGATCTTAATGAAATACAATTTAAATTCTCAATATAATGAATATATTCATAAGTTTTACTATAAGCATAATCAACATTGTGATA